AGAGAGAGAGAGAGAGAGAGAGAGAGAGACAGACAGACAGACAGACAGACAGACAGACAGACAGTGATTAATATTTCAGCTTTTGCGTGCGATGTTCTGTCTGCAGGGCTGTTCGTGATCCTGGGCGTGCGGACCTGCGGCGGGGGCGGCGGCTACTGCCTGCTGGGCTCGGACTGCACCCTGGACCGGGACTTCGCCGCCGATGACGCGGGCGGCCATTGCGAGGGCTTGCGCGCCGCCTTCACGCCCGCCGCGCACTTCTCGTGCTGCAAGTACGTGGAGCGGAGCAACGCCACGCTGCCCGGCGAGCCGGCCGACGCCACGACCACCGAGGACCCCGTCGCCGTGGCCACGACCCTCGCCGACGACGCCGAGAACGTCATCGAGACCGAGATCATCGTGAAGCCCGGCCCCGTCGGCCCCGCCGGCCCCTCCGGCCCGGCCTCGGGGCAGACCGTGGTGGCCGTGTCCGAGGAGTACAAGATCAAGGGGGCGGAGGAGGAGGTCGAGGTGGCCGAGGTCGCCGCCGTCCCCGCCGCGGACAAGGAGGCCGTCGTTGAGACCCCCGCGTGCCGCAGCCCCAGCACCGACGTGAACCCCTGCTGGCGCAGCAGCTTCCAGGACGCGGACGGCACCACCCTCTGCTCCGGCACGCTGCTCGGCGTGGACGCCGCCGTGACCTCGGCCTTGTGCGCCAACAGGTACGACCCCGCCGGGGACCGTGCTGACCTCGGTGACCGTTTGACCCCTTGACGTGGAACTCCTTCCAGGTTGATGGAGGCCGGCCCCGCAGTGTCGCTGCGTGTCGACGATCTGTCCCTGCCGGTCAGAGACATCATCGTGCACCGGGACTACCGCGCCGCGCCCGAGGACCCCAACGACATCGGTAGGCCTCAACATCTCACTTATGTTCCGAGGATCTGTTCTGACCGTGTAAACCAGAAAATGTTTTTCTAGGGAGTTTCTAGGAGTTTCTCTTAAGATGATGTGAAGTATTATTATTTCTGTACTGCAAAACTAACGTGATACACTTTCCGCACGCTGTAAAATCTGTGTACCTAGTGCTTCTTCTCGGACTTGTTTTGCCTCCGCAGCGATGATCAGGCTGCTGCTGGCGGGGGCCTCGATGGGCGGGGG